TCTAAAAGAAAAGAAGAGAGAGAGAGAGAGAGAGAGAGAGAGAGAGAGAGAGAGAGAGACAACAAAACACACTGTGCCCAAGAGTTAGAAGGAATGGGAGCCAACCCTGAGCCCCAGCCTAAGCCGAGCATCTGCAGACAAACAGCGGAGATAAGCCTCCTGCTGCTCCAGCATCTCCTTCTCGCACCCTCGATAGCCTGAATATTTCTCTTGGCCCCACATCTGCCTAAGGCCCCTCTGCCCTATGAAACTGGCAGCAATAATCAAAAGAGATGTGCCCAACTGACTCAGAGCTAAATGTCCAGGCCACCGCTGCTTCTGCCCCTCTCCCTGCCCAGAGGTACCCGGGGGAAGAGGGGCACCATACAAATATGCAGCCGCAATGCAAGTGAAATGTCAGTGAAAAAATGCACAGGTGCAAGCGACAGGTGATCAATGCAACCTTTGTGGAACAGGCTCAGAGAGCCATTTGCCAAAAATTACAATTCTAGAGGGCTTTACTGAGAAGTGTGCCAGAGACTCAAAGACAGGCAGACCAGAAAGATAAAGAGGATGGATCTCTTTACAAACCCGGAGTTTACTCAAAGGGGGGTCTCATTAGTTCAAAGACAATGGTCCAAATGTTTATAAGGAAGAAAAAAAGCATGGCCAGACAAAAGGGGAAGCCACCAATGGCCCTGGCAGACAAGTGCCCACTGCCATGCTCAAAAGCTAAGACTTGAACAGAGAAGGAGTGAATATTTTGGCCTCAGCCCCTCCTTTCAGTTTCTTCCCACTTGCTTAGAAGTCGATGATTGACGAATATGGCAGGGGTCCCATAGACACACAGGACCCAGCACCTCAGAGGGCTCAGCTGCTGCAAGCCTCCAAATGAACCAGAAATATGTTCATGTTAACAGCCAGGTGTGGGCCATAGGGTGCTCACTCTAAAAGGACATGCCACCCTAGCTCCAAGCCACACGCTGTGAGCCACCAGCAGAAAGGGCCACAGAGCCCCATGCACCCGGCATACTGAACAAGAACACAAGCGGGTCAGTGCCACAGTCTGGCTGGGCACAAGATCACGAGCCACTCACAGCTTTGTAGATTCAAACAGCAATTCTTTATTCCCAAACTCACACCGGCTCCCTACAAACACGTTCTGGGGAAATCCACGTTCTGCCGCTAAATTCACGTACTCCACCAGGCTTTTTATCCCAAATACTTTCTGAATTCCACGAGAACTCAACAGGAACTCAAAGGGAACTCAGGCAGCGGGATTCGCCCTATTCCCAGCAGGAATAACCTTAAACCTGGAACCGCCCTAAACCCAGATTGTTCTAAACCGGGAACGCCCTAAACCCAAGGAGCGGGATACTCCCTGAAACCTGAGCCGCCCTAATCCAGTAGGATCCTCCTTAAACCCGGATCCACCCTGGTCCTTGAGCAGGGTCACCTTTCTCAAACATGCATGCAATGTCACTTCAAATGTCCATTTCCACGAGTCCTTCCTCTAAGCATAAGTCCCATTAACTGCTATCCCTTCATAATAGGGGGGCGCGGCAGAGAGGCATAGCCAGCAGGATTGAGTGAGAGCTGGCTGTGTGGAGTTCAGTACCATAAAGGTTCCTTTAATCAATTCCCAGGGGGAGGAGTCAGCTGTATTCCGGACTGGGGAAGTAGGCAAAGACGGAAACCGGGAGGAATGAGATGGTAGAGGGGTTCCGGTAGTTCTAGGCATGGCTTGAGGGGATTGGGCCCTATTGCTGTGGGATTTTCTTCCTGCTTAAATTGGATGGTGAACCAGAGGCCAAAGTCATAAGTTGGGCCATAAACATAGAATCGCATTCCCCAGGTATTTCCTGTAAGCCATGTTGTTCTGAGATAGCCCCTTGCTTTGGAAGTGAAAGTTATATTGAGGGGGTTACATAGACTATTTTTTCCACAGCGAGTCCTTGACACTTGGCTAGCAAAACAGTTCCTGGGATCTACCCAGGTGTCATTTCCCCCCACCTGAATCATGCTGTCTGGGGAGTTTGGTTTCCACCATGCAGCTCCCGTTTGTTCACAACCCCAAGATTTGCAACAAAAGTCACTGGGCCCTCCACAGGTTCGGGCCTGTTTGCGACTTTGGAAATCAGCTGGGCACACATAATAATCAAGACTGGCTAGTCTACACCTATGATGTGGGCGATGACATCCATAATACATATGGTGTGGGGAATGTTGCCCTGGTTTGGGGTCAAACGGGATCTGGGTGGGGTCCTCTATGTCAGGGAGGTCCCAGTCAGAGAGGCCTATGGCCAGTTGACAGATGTCCGGATGGAGAGATGGCCACCAAGTCCATAAGGGGGCTGTATGTGAAATAGACCATACTACTTGTCCAGTGGGATTTATAACTTGCCACTGTTGCTGAACAGGCTGATGGGGATTAGGGCTGCAGATGGTCAGGGGAAGAATCCATAGCCCTACCCACATGACGGACACGCAACTTGAGAGGGTTACCAGTCTGTTCCAGCTTCCAGCTGGAGTCTGGACAGGGCGCAGGCTTGAGATGGGAGGCATGGATCCAGGGAGCGATCCCATCCATTTTCACTGCTGTAGGTGTTATAAGCAGCATCTGGTATGGTCCTTTCCAACGAGGTTCCAGGGATGACACCTGATGCTGTCTGACGTAGACGAAGTCTCCCACTTGATATCGGTGTGGGGTTCCCCTGTCTCCGGGCTGATAGGCAGTGGCCAACTGTTTCCACAGGTATCGCTGGGTGTGTTCAAGGGCTTTAAGTCTGTTAAACAAGGGGGTGTGAAAGGAATCCTTAAGTCTCAGGGTTGGGGTTAGGTCCCTGATTGGAGGAGGGGCACCATAGAGAATTTCATAGGGGGTGAGGTTACACAAAGAGGTGGAGGGAGTATTTCTTGCACGAAACAGTGCATAAGGCAGGAGCATAGTCCCATCTTTTATGCCGGTCTCCAAGCTTAATTTTGTTAAGGTCTCTTTGATGGTTCTATTCATCCTTTCTATCTGTCCTGAGCTCTCGGGTCTATAAGCACAACGTAACTTCCAATTAATCCCCAGGGTCCTGGCCAATCCTTGACTTACCTGGGCCACAAACGCCGGTCTGTTATCGG